GGAGTGATGTTTTGCCCTACCTGACGTGTAATCGTACTGAATACTCAGTACGTCCCCAAATACTAGCGAAAAAAAAATCGCAAGTAATTCGGGTGGGAATCGAACCCACAACCTCCAGGTATCTAGCCTGATGTCTTAACCACTAGATGTCTTAACCACTAGACTAGACTGAATACTCAGTACGTCCCCAAATACTAGCGACCAAGCGCAAGCTCGGTGGTCTAGTGGTTAAAAAGACATCAGAGTATTCAGTACGATTACACGTCAGGTAGGGCAAAACATCACTCCTATGATAATTTCCTGACGCAAACTCATCCTAACAAATCTGATTTTATTATTAAGAAAAATATACATTATCACTTTGAAAAACGTACGCAATCGGACTTTTTAACGTTATTACCTGTCTCTTATACACATCTAGATGTGTATAAGAGACAGTATATATACATATATACATATATATAGTTTAATAGGCAAAATACTGAAAAACCCCTTCCCACATATGTTTAAGGGGTTTGTCCCCACACTTTTCGCCCGCAATGCAATTTCTTAAGTCAAGAAGATGCCTGAAAATTGTTGAAATAAACTGCATAAATGACTCAGGTTTTAACGAAAGGGGGCTGTAGGCCTACAGGCAGAGTACATCTTGTTTTATAGCAACATGTCGGTATCTCTGCCAACAAACATCTGAATTACCATAATTTGAGAATAAGAGAAAAAGTGTGCAAAGTTAAGATTGTTGTTCAGTACGTGAAGTAGTTAAAGTAAAGTAAATACATCAACGACAATTACCGTAAGTTTTATGTTCTACGGTACATCACAGCGATTATTTAAATCGATGATGATAAATTTTACCAAAAGAGTGTCATATTCGGCATTCTAGAGGTACTTTTTTCCATAAATTTTACCACCTCAGCCCAAACTATGGTGGATTCACGGTTTATAAGTTTTATTTTCTATAGCACAGTACATCAAACATATTAATTAGTGATTACCGAAAATAGCTGATAAAAGATCATGAGAATTTGTTGGCACTTCATTTTTACTATATATTGGTGATGATGAATTTATTATTTAAAAGTGTCATTTCCGGCCATCTAGAGGTACTATTTCTCCAAATGTTCTCACCTCAGCCCCAACCATCAGAACTATGGGTGAACTGAGGTGGATGTTGCCTCACGGCTTTGAGGTAGGTCATGTAAATTAAATACATCAAAGAAAGTGGTTTTTTTTTAAATTTCTATGGTACATCACTCTTATTAATAGATCTCGTGTTTACTGAAAATTCCTGATAAAAGATCATGAAAAATTTGCTTCGCTTCATCTAGACTACATAAGCCTGGTTCACGTCAAACATTATCTAGGTATACCCGTCTTGAAACATGATACGATAATCCCCTAATTGCGTTCGATGCCAAGTTACTAGAGCATAGAGTCTGTTCTATTTTCTCTATGGTTAGAGCCAGATAAAAACAGCCAACCAGTTTCAGGCCGTCGACGTCACACGGTAGAAAGGCTTGTTTAATAAAACATCTACTGTATTTTACGAACCTCTAGTACCAAGTGGTATTCGTTCAAATAAATTGTAAACTACGGTAGAGAAGGTGTGAGTTTCCACTACCTAACCTAGCCGACCAGTACGAACCAACGACAGTGCAGCAGCGTGTTCTATCGCAATCTAAAAGATTCTCTAAACCCTAGCTAATTTTACCTTCTTCTATTTAACAAAATATTTTTTAATTTTCAATTAAAACGTCTGTATACTTTATGGACCTTTCTGTCCTGTTTTGTAGTTTTTAGATCGCTCAATTGTGTTGTTTACATGCACTTCGCGAAAATCTAGCTTCGCGGTGTCAAATAAGTTGCTGACTTCCACACACTTTTTTATTTCGTCATCGAAAACATGTGAGCTTATTTTAACGACTGGCGTTGGTGATAGTTCGTTGAAACTAAATTAATATCGAATATTATAGCAGAAATGGAAAAGATTGAATTGTCAATAAATAAATACAACAAATCTGATTTTATTATTAAGAAAAATATACATTATCATTTTGAAAAACGTACGCAATCGGACTTTTTAACGTTATTACTTGGTCGATGATGCAAAGAGCAAAGGTCATTGGTAACATCGACTATTCGTAAAACGGACGTTTGCTGGGTTTTTACCCATAATATTACAAATAATTTCTAAAAACCAGACTAATGAGACTAC